ACAACTCTGAAGATTATGGTGGCCATGATGAGGTCGTAGGCCCAGGGGGAAATGTGTCCGAACTGGGTCAGGTGTGCATGGGGATGTTGGGTCTGGAGACCTAAGGCAGAGTAAGTAGCCCATCCCCCATGGAGAGCTCCATGAGCCCTGCACCCTGAGAGGGAGTCATAAACCTGCATTCCTGTACCCTGAGGAAGAGATACAGGGTCCCACGAGTCTGCCACGGGACTGATAAACAAAATTCTCCCAATGTTGTTTTCCCCCCAATAAGAGCAAACAGACCAGTTCATCTAAGGGGACCCCATGCAAATACATGCCCAATAGGAGAAACCCACCTCACTGATACCCTAACCTAGAGTTAAAGCGTCCTTAAAAAGCCCCAGCCTTCACCCAAGCAGGGAGTTCCTGGCTTCCGGGCTCCGCTGCGCTTCTCTAGCTGTAGCCTTTCCTTCCTCTCAATAAATCCTACTTTCTAGACCGGCTTTGGCTCATTCAGCTGCCTCACGAGCCAGTTCTCTGACCGTGAAGGCAAGGACCCTCGACACCAGCCTGCAACACTGGCATGTAACAGGGAGGGGTGTCCTGCTTTCTTCTGGGAGACCTTCTATGTCCCCTCCCCCGGGCTTTCTCATTGACAGCTGTCTCAGCCCCTCCTGGCCCATGGAGACCTGAGGACCTGTCGTTGTCTGGATGTGGCTTGATCCCACCAAAGCTTGTGTTGAGGCTTGGTCCTCAATGGAATGGTGTTGAGAGGTGGTGGCTCGTGGGGAGGCTTCTGCAGGTGAGGGCCCGCCCCCAGGAAGCCCGTTTGCAGGGCTCAGCACCCTTTTCTCTCCCCAGCTGGCACTAGCTGCCACGACAATAAGACCACCCTGGTGTCTATCTGTCTCTCTCTCTTTTTTTTCCTGGAACTGGGATTTGAACTCAGGACTTTGCACTTGCAAAAGCAGGCATTCTACTGCTTGGGCCACAACTCTAGTCCATTTTGCTCTGGTTATTTTGCAGGTGGGGGTCTCTCAAACTGTTTACCCAGCCTGGCCTCCAACTGCAATTCTCCAGATCTCAGCCTCCCAGGTAGCTAGGATTACAGTTGTGAGCCATCAGTGCCTGACTGTCTGTCTCTTTTTGCACCTGCCTGTACTCCCTCTACTTCTCTGCCATATTGTGACACAGTACACCAGACGTGGGACTTCCAGTCTCCAGAACCATGAGCCACAGGAACCTCTATTCTTTTTATAAATTCGGATCACAGATTCTGTAACAGCCATAGAAAACCGCCTAAGGCAGGGCAAGTGTTCTTTAAATTCTCAACCTGTTATAGTTCAAGTTCCAGCTGATTATTTATTTATTTATTTATTTTTTGCATACTGGGGTTTAAACTCAGGGCTTATACCTTGAACAACTCCACCAGCTCTTTTTTTCTGATGGGTTTTTTGATATAGGGTCTCGTGAACTATTTGCCCAGGCTGGCTTCAAACTGCAATCCTTCTGATCTCTATTTAAGTAGCTAGGATTACAGGTGTGAGCTACCAGCGTCCCACCAGCTGGTATTTTAGGGAGCAGTGCAACTTATTCAAATATTTCACTGGCTTTTAAAAACTCTTGTTTTCAGTCAGGATCACATGCCGGCAGTCACAGCAGGATCTCAGTTCTTGGGTTCCTTTGTTTTAGTACCTGTGGCCTCCCTCAGTGCATCACTCCCTCCAGCACAGCCTCTGCAGGTCAGGGCTGGGGCTGGTCAGGCTTAAGTGTACTAGCCGCATTCCCAGAGCTCCTGCTTGGAGTTGGGTGGGCAAACCCTCTGGTGGGTGTGGCAGCTTAATCCTTGGTGTCACTTCCGTGGACCCTGAAGTTTGTTGCTCTGCAGTCAGTGTGACTTTATCTTGCACGAGTTAGGACTGAAAAACTGCTGCCTGTTCCAGGCCCTGTGAGTCTCCATTCTCTGAATTTTCTCAGTTTCCTTTAATTCCTGCTCATTTGCTCTGCCAACTGGCTCTCTCCCGAGCCCATGACACCAAAGCATGCGGTTGGCTGCAAGCCTTTACTGCCAGGTTACAAGTTTGTTAGGTTCTTGCTCTGTCCTTCAGTTATCACAGGAACTGTGACTTGGTGCACTCCTCCAGCCCTGTGAGCACACAGCAGCACCTCCTCTTCATGCAGGTGTTGGGATGGGGCTGGCTGAGCCTAGCCCCTCCATGTGTTTCCACGAACACAGACAGGAGCGGGGATGGCGGAAGTCACTCTCCATTGCTAGAGCTGTGTCTGGAAGCTCACCTACTTCACTGACTACTGCAGGACGCAGGCTCATGCCCAACTGAAAGGTAGTGGGGAAGACGGTTCCAGGGAGAAGCTGGAATCTTGGTGAACTGCTAGCTAAAGAGCCCCAGTGCACCTGCACCACTGGGCAATTTCCCTACTCCATTTCAGCCAGCAAGAGACCCCACGGGGGCTGGCCTGTAGCTCAGAGGTAGAGCCATCCTTAGCAAAACTTATGAGACCTGGAGAGAGACAGGACAGAGGTGATAGGAGCTTGCTTTCTCCTTAAAATGCCAAATCACAAAACTCCAGAGCCTGGTTTTTTTTTTTTTTAAAGAGGAAAAGATATCTTTTGGAATTACTATTATGGGAATTGGGTCCACTCTAGGGAGGAGGTCTCCAAAAGATAGGAAGCCTCTGCTTGGCTCTTGGGTACCAAGTTCATGATGTTCTTGCAAAAATAGAATTTTAGGTCACAAGAAAGTTCATTAGTAAAACAGCAGAGATAGAAACACAGTACACAGCCCAGACATGGTGTGGGCACATCTGATAACAGGTGAAACGAATGCTGTCACATCAGAGGTGTTTATGGTGAAAAAGTGGGTTGGGAGTTTGGCTCAAATTCACCTTAGGAAAGACTGCTCCTTTTGTTCTGGTATATTTTAACATTTTTGCTGTTACACTGTTTTATCGGTTGGGCCCAGAGACTTCAAAGGATGCCCTTTAAGGTAGGTGTCATCTTTGTAAACAAATACTTCTTATCCCCAGAGGAGTTATTTTCCCAAGAGTTCCTTCCCAGGATAAGATATCCTTGCTCAGTTCTCAGAGCACACTAATAATTTTTGGACCATCAGGCAAAGTCAGAGGGAGAGAGCTGTTCTTTCTCTTTTTTTTTTTTCTTTTTAGTAAATGTTACGGTTTGTTGAGGGAGTGTAAGGCTTAAAGGATAAACAGCAGTAGCTGCATGTTTTTAATGGAGCTTTTCCTTAGTGCAATGCTTATTTGTAATTTCCTGGCTGCTGTTTCCCTTGTCTCAATTTCCCTGATTTTTTCCTACCTCAATACCAATCTACTTCTTGTGCAGTCAGGGCATTATGTAAGTTTTTATAACTGTTACTGAGTTATTCCTTTCTTTCTGACTATAAAGCTGGCCTTGGAGTCCTTTAGAAAATGTCTTCTAATGTCCTAAGGTTTTGATGCAAATGTCTCCTTGCAAGGTGGTTCTCTCCAGAGGCAGGCGAGGAGGGTGGTGGGCAGCACTTGTGTCAGGACTGACAGATAGGGGACAGGACAGCTGTAGGACCTTCTACCCACTGCACCGGACCTGCCTTGTTCCATGAGGCTTACTGGGGGAAGGTCCCAAGCCTCACAGTCACAGTTCCACTGTGATCAGTAGACCCAGCCCCAGTTTGAGAATGGGCTGGGGAAAGCTGGGATCATGGGGGATGAGACACTCACCACTAGATACATTGTTGCTCACTTCAAAATGTTGCCAGAGGAAAGTGACACAGGGCTTGATATAGGGCCCATGCTGTAAACTCAAGATTAAATATTCCAGTACATTTTAAAAGAAAGAAAGAAAAAAGAATGAGTGAGGTTTATTTCAATAATCTATTTAACCTGATATATCTGAAATATTAGGCTGATATAGAATAAAAATAATGATTTAATATTTACACTTTACAAAAAAATTTCTTTTTTCTCACCAAGTTTTCAAAATTCAGCGCCTTTTACACTTCCAGCACTTGGGGCTGGAATGCACCACAATCAAGAGGCTTGGCAGCCACAGGGAGAGACTGGAGCAAATCTAGGGCTGGAGGTTGGGAAGGATCAGAAGTCCAGCTTGACAGGACAGGACCGGGAGGACCCTGGTGGCCTAGCCCAGCTAGGGGTTGGGGGCTGATCCTGGGGCTTCTGAGGGCAGAGCAGGGGAAGCAGGCATCCCTGAATCTGCAGGGTGAGAAGAGGGCTGGTGGTGGAGGTGGTGGGATATTCTTAGGAGGAACTTGGTTTCTGTGGCTAAGGGGAAACTGACCAGTACACTTGTCATTTGCAAGCTGTTACAGGAACTGCTCCACTGCAGGTAACTCACCTCTTTCTGACCGATTTCCCCATCTTTCTATGGGGGTGCAATTATGCAGGAAGAAGAAAGGACTGAAATTTCAGGAAGGCCTTAGCTAACAGGGTCATTGCACCCTCCCCAAGCCCCACTTGGTGTGGTCATGGTCCAGGGGCCCTTCCATCCTTTTCCTAAACTTCAAGTCCTTGAACAAAGTGATTGAGGATGAAGTGATGGAAAGGTGGGATTACACAAATATGCTGGCCCTAGGCTCCAGGGCTGTAGCAATGTGACTTGGAATTGTGACTGGTCCACCATCACAGCCTCCTCTTCAGCCAGCAAGCACCATGGTCCCTGATCTAGACCTGGAAGACACTGCTGGGGCAGGCAGCACTGGCCACTGGTCTCTGACCTACAACTAGAACACACAGCAAGGCTCAGCTCTGCACAAACTCCACCTGCAGCAAGGGCTACAGTCCAGAAAAGAGATGGATTTCAGTAGAGGAGGTCATGACAGTGAGAGGTAGGCTTTGGGGCTCCTGCTGGCACTGGACAGTGGGCAGTTTTGGCTGGGGCCCTGAACACGGACAGTGAGGTGCGGCAGCTATTGGCCTGGGCTGGGGAGACTCTTAGACTAGGAGGAAGCAGAAACTTCTGAGAAAGCAGAACTATGGACTTTGGGGGGATGGTGGAGAAGGTCCCTGGGAAGGAGGCCAAACCCTACTGAAACCATCCTCCAGCATCCGGACTTCACTCCACAAAGGGCATATATCAGCCACAAGACCACAGCTCCCCAAACCTCCTTCGCTTGCAACGGTGGCCTCCACGAAGCACAGAACATGATCAAGGAGGAGCCCAGCTCAGTTCCTGTGACATCCACTGTGATCAACATCCACAGTGACACTGGCCAGCCAGACTATGTCACCTGGTCCCTGTTCAACTCAATCTATATGAACTTCTTCTGCCTAGGCTTCGCTGCCTATGTCTTCTCTGTGAAGGTGAGTGCCAAGCTGGTGTGGGGTGGCAGTGAGGGGTGCTCTAAGAGGAGCTTGTGAGGCTGAAGTTTCACCTTCCCAGTAGTACCTGGGGTATGTTGGGGCTGTGTGTGTGTGTGTGTGTGGCTTGGGGGAATAGCCTGAGGAAGGCACAAGGTGAGGCTGCCCAGGGACCCTGGAGTCAGACTTAGTTCCCACTCCAACCTAGAAGAATTCTTCTTTCATCTCAATTCCAGAGATGCCCCCATCACCCCACCAAAGGTGGAGCCCAGGCTGTGGGGAAAGAGGGGACTCACAGGGGACTGTGCCCCAGGGTGGGGTGAGCAGCCTGGAGAGGCTGAATGTGTGAAAGGGGAGGGGTGGTCCCAGGCTGAGTGAGGGCAGGTGGAGGCTGCAGTGGGCAGGGAGGACTCTAGGGACCCGGGTCAGAGCACCTGGCTCTCACCTGACCCACACCAGGGCTCTCACCATCTGGTCTCCTCCAGTCCAGGGACAGGAAGATGGTGGGCGACATGAATGGAGCCCAGGCCTTCGCTGTCACCGCTAAGCGCCTGAACATCATCGCTGTGGCTGGCACCATTCTTGTGGCCATTATAATCATCATTGTTAGATCAGTTGCATCAAGATAAGAATCCGAATGTAGGTGCTAACCATGCCGCTTGTACTTTGCACTCACAGGCTGTGGGTTCAATCTTCAGCATGAAAAAAGAGAGAGAGAGAGAGAGAGAGAGAAAGAGAGAGAGAGAGATCGAAAGTGTTTTCTAAATGTGAGTCCTGCATGTCCCCTACCCCTCCACCCCTCACCCCAGACCATGAGGCTGAGGCCCTGACCCACCACCCCAGCTTAATGTAGCCACTCACACTCACATCTGTCCGAGACTGGATTCAATAAAGTGCACGTGCTTGTGACTGTGCTGTGACATTTTTGGGGAGGGAGCGTTGCTGGAAGACCCCAGCCTGGGCCTGAGACTGAGTCCACCCTCATCCCTGTGTGAGGGGAGCAGGACATGGGCTCAGGTTGGCAGATTTCTGGCTTCCTGCTGTGGGCAGCAGCTGACCAGCATCCTGGGTGGGGTCTTCCTTCCCGGTACTGGACTGCTGCCCACCAGCGAAGGACTTCCTTGGTGCCCTTGGTGCCCCCTGCGGATGGTGGTGGCTGGTGTGCAGGTAAGACTTGGTGCAGAACCCTGACAGCCCACATGTGAAGAGAGAACAGGTAGAGGACATAATGCACTTAGAGGCCTGGACAAGGCAAAATTTCTACAGCGCACCAGGGTGGCAGAGACAGGAAATGGGGTACCAGGGCCTGAGGATGGTCATGTAGAAGTGGCCATGAAGTTTGAGATGAACATTAGTATTTTACTTTCAGGATAAATGCCTCGTTTTATGTATGTATGGGCAGGTAAACATCCTGGAGCAAACGTGTTTAACTTCAGAAATATTTTGAACACAGCCAATGTCTCAATTAAGTATTGTAAACTATCAAATAAGTTATATAAAACAAAACTCACGGTTCTTCAACACATGCCATGCTGCAATCACACTACTATACTGTCATTTGTGTGGTTGGGATTTTCGTGTTTCTTCACTCCTAAGTGGCTGAAAGCTACAGAAGGATGAGCTGTGGCCTTTGTCCCCAGAGACATCCTCCAAACAGCTGGCAATGCCTCTTGGTGGAGGGTTGCCACACAGAACTGGAAGTGGCAAAGGCAATGCATCAAGATCCAAAGGGAATCAGTACACAGGCCACAGGTAGTGTTCCTGCCCCCAGCTGTCAGTCCTCCTGGCCTGCATGGCCACACAGGGCCTCCACACTGAGGATGTGAGTCAACCCCACCTGGCTGGAGTTGTAAGTGTAAGGAAGAAAATAGAACAAAATGCCATGGCTCCTCAGACCCCAGTAACTTATTCTCAGCACATCCCATGCTACTCTTTATCTCAGCCTAATGCTATCCTTTGCTGTTATAAATTATAAGACAGACAAGAGGCGATTCCAACCTCCATTTTCTCTCTGATAAAAACATGAATATTGATCACACCCCAGGCATTTAAGTGTGTGTGCAGAGCAACTGTCAAACATCCTACCTGACCCACCGGGACCTCCCAAATCCTTACCAAATCCCTACTTAAGATTATTGGTGGTTAGGAACTGCCCAGGCCTTTCCCCTCCCATCGGTCATCTGTTTTTAAATGCCTTGAGAAAGAGAGCTCTCTCTCTTTTCCCTTTCTTGCTTCCATCCCACCTGGCCCATCTGGCCCATCTGGCCAGATGGGGCCACCATTGCCTTTTCTGATGCCTTCCCCTAACCTTTAATAAACTCCATTACCTTCCTTACTATTTCCATGTGTTCTGCTTGGATTATCCATATCAGAACACAAGAATCAGGCGTCTTCTGATCAGAATTCTCAATGACAACAAGTGCAGGTCCAGGAGGCTTTGAGGAAGTCACACTGGTGTTCCAATCAGGCAGGACATCACAAAGGAACCATTAAAGTACCACCTGTTGATGAGTCCCAGAGTTGGGTGACTACAGGAAGAACTGTTCTGACCCCCTGCCCCCACTCTGTCAGGGGCCTAAGGAAAACTTGAAATGCTTGGAGCTGGAAACCTGTAGTGGTCTGGGTGGAGTTGGATGCTGCTGAGACACCTCAAGGCAGGTCTTGTAGCCTTCTCTGTTTGCACCAGAGAGATACCCCCACCCTCAGGCAATTAAAAAAAGGGGGTATAAAATCCAATTTCCAACCTGACCCATGGGACTACTGGTTTCTGGGTCCCCCTGCAGGCCCCATGACACAGTTCCCTTCTCTTCTCTACAAATAAAATCTTTCTGACCACTGCTGCTCAAGTCTGCCTTTGCTTTCTATCTATCAGAGCAGACCAAAAACCCTCAACACCCAAAAATTCCTGTGTGTCATCTGTGTATCATCTTGGCAACTATGAAGGGACACTTTTTCACCTGAGGTCAGTACAGGTTGCGCCAGACTGGAGGGGACTCCCTAGGAAGTGTCCATGGTTGTCTGGCACTCTGATGGAGTCTGTCCTTCAGGAGAGCTCCCCACATGTCTTAGCTACAGTGGATCTCTCAGGCCGACTCTCTCTCTCTCTCTCTCTCTCTCTCTCTTTCTTAGGAGGCTTTCTCCCTTGGGAACCTGGGAAAAAAATCTCTGAGCCCTCTACAGCTGTTAAGGCAGGCAACCAAGATATTGGGGGCCAGCCAGGGCTTATACCAGACTGCCAATGCTATGTGGGTGGAGCTAATACCTCAGTGCACTGAGGCTTTTTTTCCCTCTCAACTCTCAGCTCCCTCCCTCCTTAAGCTCTCTCCCTTTTACATCTGACCCACTAAGGAGGAGGTCTGAAAACAGCTGGTGGGAAGGAAAGTTTCCCTTCGATCTATAAGGGTACTCTGGCTGAGCAACTTCCCTGCGAGACCTGAAGGCTGAAGATGCAACTTCTGACCCACCCTGAGGCTCCAAGGTGGTTAAGTATTGGAACCCTTCCAGCTATGTCTGCGGCAAACAGACAATCAGATCTCCACACTTTCTTCACAGTTCCCATGAGAGTGGAGGTCACTCCTCACTTCCAGTGCTCCAGTACTGCTTCTGGTGGGATCGACCTGGACAGCAGTGATGACTAATAATCCCTCTTGTGTTGAGCCCCAATCCCCAGTGCTCCTTCTTTTCCAAGTAGATCAGGATAAGTGGCCTCCCCTTTTGTCCTAGACAGCAGTGGGCTTCCTTCTTCAGCCACATCTGGGAGAGATCCCTACATCCCCCTGTTCAAAACTGAATCAAGAGCTCCCTTGTCTCTTCTGCAGCCCCCATTTCAGTTGAGTACATCAGAAAGAGCTACTCTGTAACTTGGGCTTAACTGTTTTTGTTAGGAATCTGGTTAAACAGGTTCCCATATTTTATTCTGCCCTCGGGGAATAAAATAGTTAAGGGGATGGAGACATCAATGTCTCTGTTTTTGTCCCTTACAGCAGCAAAAAACAATGCCTTCAGACACTTCCTCTCTTTTCATAGAAAATATATATGCTTCACAGGATATGTAGGGGGACAAAAAGTCTACCTCATCAAGAGTCCCCATCCATGCCTCCATAAGGGTCTCTCCTCTGGCCATGCAAGCCCTCTTGGTTGCTTTAGAGCCCCTCTCTGATAGAGTTGTTTTAAAATTACAAACCTTCAGCTGGTAGAGGAGAACCAGGTATCTGGGTGGCAAAGCAACAGGCAAAATAAAACAAACAGGCAAAAAAAAAAAAAAAAAAAACAACCAATTGATCAGGGTTATTCTGCCCTGGTGGCTGCAGTCAGATGTACCTAAATGTCTTCCCCACAACATTCGCCACAGGTGGCAGTGGTGGGACAGCACAGGAGAGAGGGACACCCTTTCCCACATAAAGGATCTCCTCACCTGGGGATGCTTAGGTAAAGAAGAAAACCCCTGTTAAGATGATCAATTTTCCCTTGCTTCCCCTTTTAGATGGAGAACCAAGCTTCCAGGATCCCGGAAGGAGCTCTCCCCCTTGCCTGCTTGCTAAAACATTGGAATGACCTGATCCAGAAAGTCTTCAATGAAAGTTACTCAAGTTTTACTGCACCCAGGCCTGGCTACAATATGCTGTGGGAGATGGGGAAAAATGGTTAGATGGAGGAAGCCTTAATTATAATACCATTCTTCAATTAGATATGTTCTGTAAAAAGGAGGGAAAGTGGACTGAAGTCCCATATATTCAACTTTTCTTTTTCCTAAGAGAACCACCCAGAATAGCTGAGCAAATGCAGGCTAGATACCCAGACCATGGTGATCCTTTACAAAAAGCCCCCACACTCCCTTGAGGAACCAGAACCTGAAGAACCAACAATGTCAAAGGGGCCTCCCCTGTGACAGAAATGAAATCTCCAGGGGAACCGCAGGGGCTGTATCCCACCCTGAGGAAATTGGCCTATGCCCCATCAGTTCCCCTCTACCCCCTTACCCAGCTACCTTGCACCCCCAGCATCATCCCACAGGACTCTAACCCTCCAGTTGATTCCCAGAGGGAATCCTGTTCCTTTTAGATTAAGCAAACTTAAAGAAATAAAAAAAGATTTAGAAAGCTACACAGAAAACCCGGATCAGTACATCCAGGCATTCAGAGAAGTCAGCCAAAACTTTGAACTGAGCTGGAAAGATGTAATGCTATTGTTATACCTTTACTTCCCTGGAGAAACAGCCAGTACTAGATCAGGCAGTTACAGCTGGGGATGATTGTCACTTACATAAATGTGACCCTACAGGCCTATCTCAGACTGGGCCCTTAGAGGAGAAGGAGGGGGAAGAAAGGCAGAGATACTGGACACCTAAAAGGGAATTCCAATTCCTAATTCTCACAGGAGATCGGGCAGTGCCTAGATATTCTAAGTGGGGCCCTGAAAATGACAAGGATGAATGGACCCATAACCACTTCATCCACTGCATTCTTGAGGGTCTAAGGAGAGCCAAGATAAAACCCCTTAATTACTTCCAAGTCATGGCTGTACAGCAAGGACCCTTAGAAACCCCAGTAGCTTTCCTACAGAGACTTAAGGATGCTTTATAAAAGCATACCAACACTGTACCAGTGTCACAGGAGAAGATCGTCCTAAAAGATAAATTTCTGACATAGTCAGCACCAGATATCCATAAAAAGCTTCAGAAACTGGTGGCTGAAGGGAGCAGAGATCTGGACCAATTGGTCCATGTAGCCATGTCTGTATACTATAACAGGACTTAGAAAAAGAAAGGAAGGACCTGGAAAAGGAAAAGAGAAAGGATAAGCTGTAGGAGGCTCTGATCGCAGTGCTCAGAGAGGCTTCCCCAGGGCAAAGTCCAAACCTGAGGACATGATTTCAACGTG